CCCCAGTGGTGAATAAATACCACCAAAAGAAAGCTCTATCTGTCCCCAAAAAAGGGTATAAAATTCATTTCAGTACAGCGCTGCATGACGGAATAAATGTCAGTCAAAGTACCGCAGCGCTGAATACTGAAAAATGGCCTGGATGGGAAGGGGGTTTAACACCGCGGATGTCAACTGGTTAAGGATATAGCACTTGCTGGAGGGGGCCCAATATGCTCTTTAGGTACTATCCTGCCCTTCTGCATGTGTCATGTCAGAGAGGGCCTTCAGATCAGCTGACTTTTAATAATCTAGGGTTAGTGTGTTTTGGGTATACAGTGTTTTTAAAAAAAAAAATTCAAAAGATGCAGTAAGGTGCCCTTGTTATGACTGTCAGCAACAACTATCTGATACTCTCTAATCCCCCCAAGCTAAAAGTTAGAATCTAAATGGCCATTTTTAGTGAGGGAGAATTGTCCAAAATATACTAGAGAGAAAGAGTAAAGTCAGGTGTTTTACTGCAAGAATGAAAGTGATATTAAAGTCAAAATGTTTTGAGCTTTTTCAAATGCTGATAAAAATTTGCAATGGATTTTGCTTCATAAGGTTTGAAAGTTTTAGCTTTCTGCAGATTCAGTTAATCCACTGAGCACTGACCCTGCTGTCCTGTTTTAGAGTGGCTCCATTCCCTTTTAGGGTTCTATGGAGCCACCCTTGTGTATGCTAGTGTAAGCTTCCACAAACATACAGACACAAAAGGCAAGCCACTGCCCTCATCCTCACTCCCTGCTGCTCCCTCCTTTGTTCTTCAAGCTATAGATGGAATGCTGCTGGAGACTGTGTTGTCTCTTTTGATCTTGTACTGGACAGGAAGTTCAGAGAGTCAAGCTGAGAGAGTTAAAACAAGTTGTTTGGAAACATGATGACTGTAAGTGCTTCAGCAAAAATGCAAAGAAGTACTTTGCTGGGCAATGTATATTTATTTGATCTGGATTCATTACTAAAACAAAGTTTTAGAATTTAATACTTCTTTAAGAGACCGCAGATGACATAGCACTGTAAAAATGGCCAGCACCAGGACAATTTAAAATACATTTTTAATAGCAAGGATATGCCCAATTTACTAGAGGCAAAGAGCACAGACTGCAGCTTTACTACAAGAATTAAGATACCGCAGAGGATACAGCAGGTTAAAATTAACCAACAACTAACATTTTGTATTGAGGAGAATTGGTAAATTACCCTGTCACATGCTCTCGCAAAGGAAACTATAAGCTTCTAATGCACATTGCACAGGCATATCCCACTATAAGTCTGCAAAAATTAGGAAATATTTTCAATGAAGAAACACATACAGCCTGTAATAAGTGTAGTGCATGTGGATATGGGATGGGCTGTGAAAAAAATCAATTGCAGCCCGTAACAATTAGGAAATACACCCTATTAATTACCTAAAGTACACAGCGATTTGCAACCCACAGCACATTCAATATGGGTTTACATCTGCATTATAAGACCAATGCCTACAAACCTTATACGAATATCTCCCCATACTCTCCATCAGCAGCATGTCTTATGCATTTTCTATAGCAGCATAGCACATTGTCAATGACTGCCGGGAGACTTCTTTTATTTTGAGGGGGCTGTATTATCCAAACATCCCCTTATTAGTCCTCCCATGCCATCTGACCTCAGTTCAAAGGTCAGGAAGTGCATTATTGGTAGTTGGTTGCTATGACAGTGAAACCATGCATCAGTTTGCCAAGTCCACAAACTGTGACCAGGCAAGGTTCGTCTCAAACCTATGTTTGTTCCGACCCCGAATATCATCCCTATCTATGATCAATGTAAAGAATGTAAAAAAAAAAAGGCTTTACAAATGGAAAAGTAATTCCAGCCCTGCACAAAAGACAAGCTTTGGAATACAAAATTGCAAGAAGTATTGGCAGATAATTGCAAATTCAATAATACAATTTAAGGAAGGGACTTTGATATTTTCCTACAACTAATGGTGTCCACAGTTTGTTAAAGTATAGTTATATATATATACTGATTTGTGGGATCAAGAGGGCATTTTTCCCTCGATAATGTTGTTGGTTATTACAAAAAGTTGTGACATTTCAGTTTTTGCCAGTTGTGGTCCTCAGCTGGCAAAAGCAGCAAGTGAACTGGCAGTATCAACGACTAGTCACTAAGAGGCTGAGTGCTTGCAAGCACACTATTTTTGTTACTCACTGAAACTAAAGAGCCAGAATATTAGCAGTATTTAATACCCGGTCTACTAGTTCACAAGTGTCAATGAAAAATAAAATGATAAGTTTGCAAGTATAGTCCACAACAAGGCACATAAATATAAATTAAAATCGATAGAGGAGAGTATAAAGATATACATGCTATATTATGCAACAGCTGTCAATTGCCATTATGTTTAATTGTTCCCATCACTTGATACTGTTTTCATTTTATTTGCTTGGTTCAACCCTCATTGTGCATGTGGGTGCATACAAAAGGAAAAAATAAGAGAGAGAGAGAGAGAGGGCACAGTTATCAGTTTTGAGAAATGAGAAATACCAAATTAATTGCAACATCTGTCTAATAAGAATTCATCCGTAAACTGTGGGGAAATTGATGTACATTGCTTTTGACAGTGTGACCAACACATGACTGACTACAAATATTGGTACTATTATGCATTTAGACTGCCTGTACAAGCAGAGATTTCAGGAAAGGAAATCATTGCTGTCACAGAGGACAGTGGGAACATGTGACAATTGCAGCTCAGACCTGAGACCGTCAAATTCATGACCTTCTCCTTCTGCCACTGCCTACAATGGACACCTAAGGAGATTTTAAGTGAGCAGCTTTGTGTTTTCAGATCACATGTGCTGGTCTATTCCCTGATCCTTCAGATAATCTGATTGGACACTCCTTTCATTTGCACTTCTAGCAAACCTTAGGAAAGACTAGTTCATTACTGTGGTGATAGCCTGGCACATAGGAGCAGCTTGTCGCTCTCCGGACTTCAGGTAGGAATTGTCTCATACTACCTTAGAAGACAAAGTATAAGAGCACACAATGGTCTATACTAGTTTGAATGTACTACCTTAGAAGACAAAGTATAGGAGCAGACAATGGTCCATACTAGTTTGAATGTCAGACTTTCTGAAATGTGTATACACATTACTACTGCCAGTGACTGGGAAATACTGGAAGACCACAGTGGAAAAACATTACATTTAAGATTGCCTTAGCACGGTAAGTCTATATTTGTACAGAGCAAACCAAGAAACCTAATTCTCGAGGCAGAGCTTGCTTGCGCATGTAAAATCAAATTCCATGTATTAACAAAAATCTAGCTAATTTGTGTATCACTCAGCTATAGATCGTCAAATCATCTCTGAATTCATGCTGACACTGTTCTTCCTTCTGGAGGGTGGCTACTTTTGTTCCCTATGGTCCCTATGTATGTTGCAAAGTAGCCACCGCTCCAAGTTTAATCCTGTGATGGACTACAATCTCAATACAGATTATTAAACTAAAAGTGAAATTGTAGTCAAACATAGGAGCGTGCTTGGAGTGGTGGCTACTTTACAACACACACAGGGACCATTGGGAACAAAAGAAGCCCCGCTCCAAAAGGAAGGACAGTGTCAGCATGAATTCAGATTTGAGAATCTACAGCTGAGTGATGCACAAATACATAACATTTTTGATAATAGGGTACTTAAATGCATTTTTAAGATTTAACTCCTGAGTTTAGTGTCACTTTAAGTTTTGTTGTGAAAAAATATTGTACAACTTCATAAGTGGGTAATTTGGAACATGCAGACAAAGAAATATTTATCAATAAGCACGGCATATGTAATATAACTTGAAAAGAGTTAATGGTTTTGTCACTGGTGAAATGATTAACATGTTGTTTGAAAATAATATAGCTGACCTTAATGTTCCACAAGTATTTTCATAGAAGACTTTAAGAGAATATGCTGTTACAACCCCTGAACTTTTTTGTGCCACACAATCTACCATGCTAGTGATTCAGCCTCCTTCATTAGCTGGGGTTGACTAAGGGAATAGGGATTGTTGATTTTGAAAAGTGAACATTTATTTTGTCAAGTGAAAGATAGTAAACAATGTGTGTGAGAGAACTTTAAAAAGTTTTTTTTTTCTTTAGTGCAATGAAAATCCCTATATTTAGAGTTAGTGTGTGTTGGGAACATACACATGGAGTAGATAGGCAGATATCATCGAGTGTTTGTAGAGAGAGATATCTTTTTCGTGTCAGCAGCAACTTCTGTTGCTGTTCAATTGCTTGGCTTTCAGTTAGTTAACTTTTGAGGGGGGGAAGGGGTGTTTAGTAAAATTAGTTAAATACTATGCCCAGAGGTACTAGAATTTTTTCAGTCAAATAAACATGCTTACGTTAATTTTAGTTACCTGGCTTCTGTCCTATTCATACAGCAGCCTAATGACGGTGGTTAAATACTGTGCATCTAGTCAATACTGCTTTTTTGTTGGCTTTTTTCAGTCATCTAAATTTTTTTTGTATTAAAAGCATGGCAGGTGTCTGTCCTGTTCAAAAAGTGCCCTGGTGAAAATGCATGTAGTCACTACAATCTTTGGGTGGCTTTTTTTCAGTGAAATAAATATACTATATTGCTGATTTTTCTTTATTAAAAGCTTGCTGGCTTCGCTGCCATTCAAAATGTAGCCTAGTACAAGTGCTTCAATACTTTTTATGGACAAGTCTCTTCAGTTCAAAATGTGCCAACAATAGGTGTTTAACCTCCTTGGCGGTATTCCCGAGTGTAGCTCGGGGTTACTTCTCCATACCCTGAGCTACACTCGGGAATATCCCACAGTATTTACTTACTTTGTCCCTCGAGCCGTGCGGTGTCCTCCGGCCGGCGCCGGCATCTGTCTTCCGGGTTCTGTCCCTTGCGAGCTGACGCATCGCATGGGGGCGGAACCGGCGGGAAATTTGGAAAAAACGAAGAAATAAAATAACGAAAAAAATCCGGAAATAAATTGTGCCGAAAAAATTACGAAAATCAAAATAATCATACCGCCAGGGAGGTTAAATACTGTGTACGAAGATTGTACAAGATTTTTTTTCAAAAATATATACAGTTTTACAGAATCATTACATGTACAGTAATGACAACAGTTACATTATTTACGCTAAACATAGGTACAAACAAAACTGCAAAACAATGACCAATCAATTTGCTCATAATGACGGGTACAAGTGCTTCAATACTTTTTATGGACTCACTACAATATTTTGATGTTCCTTTTCTGTGGCATTTTGATTACGGTAAAAGCTGGTTGTTGTCTCTTCAGTTCAAAATGTGCCAACAATAGGTGTTTAAATACTGTGTACGAAGATTGTACAATATATATATATATATATTTAAATATATTCAGTTTTACAGAATCATTACATGTACAGTAACAACGACCAATCAATTTGCTCAAAATGACGAGCAAAGCTGGTCAGAATGTTAGAATATAGAGAAAAGAAACCAAGTGATAGTTAGCCATACCTTAAAACACAAAAGAGTATAAAACCAAAGTGTATTTTTTCAGGTTGTTGATGGATGTAGATTTTCACCATGAATACTAGATTTTCTGAAATTTAGGAGAGCAGTTTCAACTTTCTAATAGGGAAGAATTAGATTAGTTAATGCTAGTCATTGGGTCACCGTGGGGAGGAATGGATTCACCCACTTAATTGTAATCATCTTGTGGGCCATAAATAAAGTATATCTTTAGAAAATTTCAGTGTGATGCGTCCACAACTCTTCATCCAACATGCCATATATACAAATCTCAGGAATGCACATTTTAGGGGTTTTCAGCATGAAGGTCAATCTGTCAACCACTTAAAACCAATATGTGAATATTACGGGGCAGATCGAAAGTAAGTGTACAACTTTTGCCTGTAAGTGTACATATCCTGCCTACCCATTTTATGTAGACAGGTGGAAAAAAAGCTATGTCTGATAAACTTTATGCAACTGAATTTGTTTATTGTTAATTACTGGTGAGCAAAGTGTGAGAGGAACAGATATCTTCCCACCCTTCCTGTGCCATACTGGGAACAAGGTACTACCAATTAGCTTTAGCTGTCAAACGTACCTTCCCCAATTTGGCATGAAGGAGGTGTGATTATAGAAAAAAATCATACATTTAGGTCACTGTGGATTTATTATGCCTGCCAGAGGATATGTAGAAATACATCTCTCCTGACCTCCAATTTCAAAGTATGTACCTCACTTGCAGATACTGATAAAAACCTTTTTATGGTAAATTATATTTCTCTTGAAGTTGCATAAATGAGCGTTAAATACCCTTCTGATAAATGACCAAGAGATTAGTTATTCTATTTGATTTCCAGACTGATGTTTCCATGATAGCTCTAAGTTGCTTTAAAACTGGGTTGTCTCATGTGGAAAGGTCCACCACAAGACCTGTTAAGGAGGACTGTTGCCCTTCCTCAGCCAACTCAGATTTAGCTAGTTTTAGGATTGGTAATTTGACCCTAGAGGGAAACAATCGAGGAGCATTTGAATATATTAGCAGCGGTCTTGTATTAAGGACATATGCCACATTTGCCATTGTGGAGGACAAACCATCAGGGGTTGCCCAAGGTTGATAAATGTTTAAATTGATCTGCCAGATAATACAGAAAAAGAACCGGCAAGGCCATGCCTGCCTCAGCTGTTTGTCTCTGTTAATTGGGAAGTTTTAGCTTGCATCAAATATTGTTCCATATTAAAACAGAAAATAATTCTTTAACTTCGTAAAAAAAAGCTCCAAGAACCATCATAGGCATACAAGCGAGGATATATAAACATTTTGGTAATAGAATAATTTCTATTCAATTAACATAACGTATGAGTGGAGCAATATTTTCCAAGACAGCATACTGGGAATCATTTGGTGGTGATTCTCCCCAAATAATTCAAGAAGGAAACCAAGGCAACAGAGTGTTGTATTTGGTTAACTTGGTACAGATGAGCAGTCAACAACATCAAAACTGACCTCTGCCAATCAATTTTTAATCCTGAATGACCACCAAATGGCTCTTTAGCCCCCACTGTGGAATTCAGGAATGAACCACTATCTGGTCAACTGCACAGAAACATGTTACTTCATGGCAAATGCCTTCTATGTTAAAAGAGCATGTGTTGATATGGTGCAGTCATTGTTATGGATTTGATAAATGTGTAGTTCCTAGGATAGGCAGTTGCAAAGCATACAACCTAGAGGATTATTTTGAAAAAAGCAGGTGAATTCTCTATTTGTCACATTTATATTTATATGTGCTATATTATTATTTATATATTATTTTATA